GGCTATTTGGGTCTGTAAATTTACCGAACACTAGCTGGCAAAGGAGCGTTGCCACGCGGGGAGGGGAAAATTCCCTCTAATTTTTTTTACAGTGTAGGTGTATAAGATCCCGTTGTTTGTTTTAGGGAGGGTCCTGACGGTGGAGGAGAGTTTGTTTTGTTGTCAGATGTGAGCTTGTCACCGCCAACCTTCGTCCATGGCCCGCGCCCCTATCGCCTTTTCATATCCACTCGTCGGACTCGCCGCGGCGTTTCTCTCTGTCTCTCTTGCCGATTCGATTATTTGCGGTCAGAGAGAAAAGCGTTCTTTCATCCCCACCCCCCTCGTGCCGCGCCCCTCTCCTCATCTGTCGTTCACTCTCCCGACGTAACTGCCCCCCGCCAACGACCCTTTGACCTTTCCATCACAACCTCCCCGCCCCTGCATCCCGCCCCCGCCCCCTCTCTGCCCCCTTCGACAATGCCTCCGTTCTCACTGGGCCGTGGGCCGGGCTCCGCCGCCACATCGCGACCGGAGTGTGGTATTTACTCCGGCGGGGCGGGGTGGGGTGGGGCGGGGCGTCTTTCGAAGAAGGTCCCCCTACAACTCCCCACACCCCAACTCTCCCAGAGGCTCGCCCAGAGGTGATTGTTCCCTTACGCCAATAACCTTCTCGATCGGTACACTCTGTTCTATTCTAGTCTTTTAAAGTTCAAACAAGGTTATTGTATGGATATTTCAGTCTCCAGACTACACAAACACGACTAAAAAATTCAGTGTCACGGTCGAGGTAACAGGTGAAATAACTTTTTAAAAGAATGAGGCTCTGTTTTGTGCGTCAAATAAAATCCACACTTGACGAAATGAAGCTGAGGTGACGGGGAGGGGTGCAGGTGCACGTTTTCTCCTTCTGGTAGAGACAGTCTTGGAGACTATGTCCAAACAATATTAATAATATTTTTAATTGTTATTATTTTCTTTTTCATTTTCAGCGTTTACTTGATGTGTCGTGTGTTGCAGCCGCGGGCCTGGGCGAGCAGTGCCTGTACCAGGCCGCCTGCCAGCACTGGGACGCGCACTCCCGCTGCACCCAGGTGGAGCACAACGCCCTGTGCCAGTGCGAGCCGGGCTTCCACACGGTGTCCCGGGCGGGCCGCCGCAGCTTCTGCTCGGAGGGTGAGTCTCATTCAATTACTTCCTCTAGAAGAAGCGGAGCTCCGCTTTGTTTACGATTTCCAATCTGCGTTATTTCTCCCCTCTTCCCACCGGTTTTCTTATTTTCGTGGTCCTCAAACGGTGCCCCCTACCCTCCCTTTTCTTGTAGACCCGAAAGTGGCTCATGCATTGCAATCCAATGTGTTTCTAATGTCGTTTATCCGTGCAAGCAGTGCTCACCGACAAAACTTATTTTTCCATTTCTCTTCTGAGTCCTGCTCCAGACACTCCACAAAATTTCCAAACTCCCGCTGCCACCCCAACCCTCTGCTGACGCACGAGGGCGTCGCGCCGGTTGGTCTCGCTCTTCATTTTTTAACAGTTTGTAATTTCGATGTTCGATGGCTGCGAAGCGTCGCGCTGTTGTTCTCGCATCTCATTTCCCAGTCCGCGCTGTCACCGCGCTGCGCTATTCGCGGGACGCGGGCGGGGCTGCGTTCGGAGTGAGTGCGCGGCTCCGCTCTGTCTCTGTCGCTCCTTTGTGAAGGGTTATGCGAGAAAACAACTGATTGAGCGGGCGAGGGAGAAGCGAGAGAGTGGGAGAGAGAGAGAGAGAGAGAGAGAGAGAGAGAGAGAGAGAGAGAGAGAGATGGAAACGTAGAAGCTCAGGCAGTGTTTGTGCAGGCAGCCCTAAAGGCCGCCTCGCTTGAATGGTTCGACCGCCACCTCCGTAGATCCGTG